ATCATGGCTCTCCACCTTACTCTAACCCTTGCAGCTCTGAGAAGAATTCTTTTTCTTTTTATATGCCATGTCCTTTCATTGGATCAACGATCATGTCTCTCCACTTTACTCTATCCCTTGCATCTCTCAGAAGAATTCTTTTTATGTGCCATGTCCTTTCAGGTCGTAGGCGATCATGGCTCTCCACCTCCCTGTATCCCTTGCAGCTCTGAGAATCTTTTTCTTTTTTTTTTATGTGCCATGGCCTTTCAAGATGTAGGCGATCATGGCTCTCCACCTCCCTCTATCCGTTGCAGCTCTCAGAAGAATCCTTTTTCTTTTCATGGTCGATGTCCTTTCAGGTCATAGGCAATCATGGCTCTCCACATCCCTCTATCCCTTGCAGTCTCAGAAGAATTTTTTTCTTTTTATGTGACATGTCCTTTAAGGATATATATATATATATATCATGTCTCGAATGTCCTTTCAGCTCTGGCAATCATGGCTCTTTTACCTCCCACAACATCCCTTGTAGTCAACAATCTTCAGAAGATTTTTTTTTCTTTTTTTTATGTGCTATGTCCGTTCAGGACGTAGGCGATCATGGCTCTCCACTTCCCTCTATCCCTTGAAACTCTGAGAAGAATTCTTTTTCTTTTTATGTGTCATGTCCTTTCAGGACATAGACGGTCATGGCTCTCCACCTCCCTCTATCTCTTGCAGCTCTCAGAAGAATTCTTTTTCATTTTATGTGCCATGTCTTTTCAGGACGTAGACGATCATGGCTCTCCACCTGCCTCTATCCCTTGCAGCTCTGAACAAGTTCCTTCCTTTTGCTTCTTCCTACACATCACATTATGTCTTAAGCTCAGTAGGTATGTCATGAATTATTTTCCCTTGTCTGTCTTTCCCTCTATTCGACCCATGAGCATCAGATTCTCCTTATTATGTGTCCCAGAAACTACAGCTGCTTCTTCCTGATGTTAAGTAGCACCCTCCTTCTATTTTGCATCATCTCTAAGACTTCATTGTTTCTCACACGCTTGGTCCATGATATCCTTAGCATCTACTATTGTACAAGCATTTACTGTGAGTGAAAGACAATCAATTTAGGTGAAAAAAGACCCTTCATTGCCTTCCATCATCATGGCTGATGCTATCCTCTAGAAAAGTGACTTGTTGCATCTTCTTGGGTTCATGTTCTCAGCTGATATGAAATGGAAAGACTATATTGAATCCATTTCTAGGTCAGCTGCTAAGAAAAACAGTTCACTATTTATTTTTCTCTCCAGAATCTGTATTACATATCTATATATCTATCATTTGCCCATGCTTAGAATATTGCTGCCACATATACTCTGGTGCTCCTGCTATATATCTAGAGCTTCTTGATAAAATCCGTAGAAGAATCAGCAATATTATTAGTCCTAATCTGGCATCTTGGCTTCTGTCACTTTTCCACTGCCATAAAGTTGCTTCCCTGTGTCTTTTCTATAAATACTTTCATGGTCATTGTTTTGATGAGGTCTTTGCTATGCTACCTAGACTTTATGAATTTAAGTGCAGTACTAGATTGGCAACTAGGTCTCAGTAATTTGTAGTTGAATTGTCTAGCTGCAGCCATAAATTATATGCTAACAGTTTCTTCTCTTACACTTCTCACGTATGGAACTCCCTCTGGCTCCTTGCTTTCCATCTGTTGAAACCTAGGGAAGGTTACTGAATAAAATAATGAAATGAAGGTTAGTAATGAACGATAATACTTAGGACAAGAACAACACATATAAGATTCGCCAGTGGCATGTAGAAGTAGTCAACTGCTAGAAGTGAGTCAAGTGAATTTCACAACGAATCTCCAACTGCAAACCAACATACAGTATTTAATGCTGTATTTATGTGAATGGGGACATACCCAGTATCGTCTGTAGGTATGCTACAACATCAACCATCTTTAACGAGCAATTTGCTTTTTAAGCCCTGTGCTAAATATGTAATAAATATTTGCTGAATAGTTATATTTAGGTGTAAATTTACATACTTAATAAAAAATAACAAAGACATTTTTATAAAATATACCGTTTAGGAGTTATTAACAATAAAAATTTGGACTCATTTGTGTTACAGCATGGCAGCCATTACTGGCGTTGTTTGCATACATTTGCTGCTGATCATGTTTGTGTGGAAGATTACATTGCTAATGGCCTTTTTGTGGTTCTTACTTTACTGAATTACTGTGCAACTAAGGACTCACTACATGCGCAATAAAAAAAGGTTATTTCACAGTAAATATCTGCAAACTACGTCAGTAATGGCTGCCACGAAGTGAATGAGTTCAAACATGTATTGTCAATAACTACAAAATGGTAGATTTTATCATAATTTCTTTGTTATTTTCGAATTAAGCATATAACTTTACACCTAAACATAGCTATTCAGCAAATTTTTATTACATATTTAGTGTGGGGCTTCAAAAGCAAATTATCCTGTTAATCTGTAAAAATGTAAATGCAATGTCAATTGCTATCTACTGTCCTCCTGATTACTGTCTTCTCTTTCTGGTCATCAATATTGTTTCTGTTCCTAATTCTGACACATCCTGTAACCCCTTGTTATTTAGTGGCATTACTGCCTTGCTTGGGGTGATTCTGATTAAAAAAACGAAGAACTGGAAACCCAATCCTAAACAGGCAGCAAGGGATAAACCTCTACTCCTGTTCAAAAGATGGAGAAATAGTCTGAACCTGGGTATAAATTGATACAGCTTTAATCTAATATTGACAAAAAACAATTTTTTCCACAACATATTTCAGTAATCTTATCAAATATCAAATAATCTTGTCAATGCACTTAACCATTACATGAATGTGAGCCTTATACAATGAAAATATCAGATGAAATTTCACTTAAAAGTTGGATCATTGCTACATAGTTATCTGTTTTTATCTCTATCATTATCACCATTGTTATTTACAGGACCAGTCTTTGTTAATATTTGTTCTAACTTCCCTGTTTTTGATATGTAGGTAAATCAATAAGTCTGTAACCTAATGATGTAAAATGCTTTTATTTTGCAGAACATTCATTTATTTTTCAATATAATCTTGTCAATGCACTTAATTCATTGGTGAATATGAATCTTATAGATAAAACATTATACAGTGGGAATATCAGCTAAAAACTGAATCATGCAACATACACTTGTTGGGAAGGGCACGTTTTTGGTGGTGTAATCTTAGCAAACTTTGTCTCACTAGAACAATTAGACTGAGTAGTGAGTTCAATCCTCACTGGGTTTTCTTTTTTTCTAGATGCCACATCCTTTACACTTAAAAATCACTACACTTCTATGGAAGTAAATTATTAAGTTTGTAGCCTGATAATAAAAAAGAAACTTGTTTATTTTAAACAAAGTCAATGCACTTAATTCATTAGTGCAGATGAATCTTATAAACAAGTATTATACAGTGAAAACATCAGATATAAATTAATTTAAAAATTGGATCTTGTTGTGAAATTATTAAACCACATTTATATATTAATAAGTCTCTAGTGTAAGGGTGAAAAAGGCATTTATTTTACACACCGACCCCTAACAGGATGCTTCCCCAATCACTACAATCTTAATCTGTTTAAGTCTAGGTTTAACCATTATCTTCCTTACATATGCCCCTAAATATGTGTTCATTAATTTGTAAATCTGTAAACCTTGAGTGATAATCTTGATATATATACATGGTGAACATAATTGTAAAATAAAAACAAAAAAAAAAGCAAATATTTACTTCTCAGCATAATCCCCTTTTTTGTCAATGCACTCAAAACTGTGCTTTCACATTAGTCAAACTTTTTTTTAGTCACCAACAAGGCAACAAAGCCACTAAGATTCAAGGGGTTACAGACCAGCAGAAAATACAAGAAATAAAAACTATTAAGGAGAAAGAATAAAAGAACAAGAATTAAAAAAAACAGCAGATAATGACTGACATTGCATTTAAATTTTTGATGATCAAAGTTAACCAGAAAGTAAGAAGCCAGACAAGTGTTCCACAAAAGAGAAATGTGAAAGAAGAAACTGTCAGCATAGAACTTATGGCTATATCTAGCCATTTCAATTGTAAATTGCCGCCAATCTAGTACGGTGTTTAAATTTTTAAAGTCTAGATAATACAGCAGAGAACAATTACCATGAAAGTATTTATAGAAAAGGTACAATGAAGCGACGTTACGGTGGTCAAAAAAGCAACTGAGGCTAAGATGCCAGGTCAGGACAGATCCTTTTAAATTGAAAAGGGAAGAAAGTGAGTTCCACAAGCAAGAAGTGCAAGAAAAGAAACTGTTAGCATAGAACTAGCCATTTATTTTAACTATAAAATGATGAGATGTTGCTGCCAATCAAGTTGGTCAGTTATATGCCATATGTGATACATACATAGGCGATCATGTATCTTTTGATACATGACTGATGAGGCAGATTTTTTTTCCTACAGTAGTTTGCCATTTCTTTCTGGGGTAGACTAGTTGCCATCCAAGGCTATAGAACCCAGTCTGTCCTGCTATTTACCCATAGCTGGGGAAGGTGAGAAGAAGAGAATTCATACCTTTCCCAACGGTATTAGAACATAAGTGAATGTGATGAATTTGACTGGAATTTGAACTCAGCTCTCCAATTCCTCAATCTGAGCCGCTATCCATTACTCCACCATACTGTGCTTAAATTCATAAAGTCTAGGGTACTATAGATTAGAGTCCATGAGAAGAATTACCATGAAAATATTTATAGAAAAACTGGACATTATACAGTGAAAGTTTCAGATTAAAATTCAGCCTACAACTGGCTAGACATTTGATTTATATTTTATATATTGACTTGGATAATGATGGCATAGAAAGATTGTATTCTATATGGTTCCTGTTACAATATTTATGCTTTGATAACAGATTGATATTTTTAATGATTTCAAACAATTAAAAGATGTCACTTGGTGTGCAGTTAGAAGCAGCAACTTCTGCTCAGTGTATACCTGCATGGGTGATCAGTAAGTGATTGGAAATTGATTTCCTTTCTTTTTTCTTCTGTTCTGTTTGGTGGTTATTGATTTTTCCAGCAGGGCGTGGAGAAAGATTGAGACCTACAAACTGGAAAAGAAGAAAGGATGATTGAAGTGAAGAACTGCATAAGGGTGGAGGAGGTAAAGGAAAAGGGGAAAAAAAGATATGGAAAACAATTGGAAGGGAGATGAGATAAGGAAGGACTAGAGACACAAGGAGGATTAAAGAGGAAGAAAATCAAAAACAGGGGAAGTCAGAACAAATAATAATAATAATAATAATAACAATAATATTAAGGACTAGGCCTGTAAATAACAATGCTGATAATGATACTGGCAAAAACAGATAATTATCATAATATATGAAAACAAAAGATAATGTTATATATATATATATATTAAAACACCTTTAATATATTTTATATATATATATATATATATAATTTCATATATTTTAAATATTTATATATATATATATATATATATATATATATATATATATATATTTAATTTAAAATTTTTAGGAATAAAATTTTCACATTTATTTAAGGATGATAACAACGTGATATCTTTTAAACGGAACGCTGATCTTAGAAAGTTTTTCAGTTATCTGTTTGGATAAGTCTTGTTCTTATGTCTATCATTCGTCTTTGTCATGTTGAATTGATAGGTTATATTTTTATGAATATGTCCTGAAGATGGTTTATTAGACCTAAACGTCCGATGTTGACATTATATTAACATTAAAACAGCATAATTGCATATAAGGATTTTTATTTGTTTTTTTCCGTATATTTTTCTTCATACATATATATATATATATATTTGTGTGAAAATATATAGAAAATAGGAAAGAACTCATTAAGTAAATAATCCAAAGTTCTTTTTATTTTTTTGTTATTAGAAATGAAAGAAAAAACAGTGCTCGATACAAAAGTAGAGCCTAAATATAATTATTTATTTTAAAAATTTCTTTTGAAGATGGAACAGAGCTTGGTACTTTAATTCAATGTAATTCAAATAATTATATTGAAGTTTCAGCTCTTGTTTTGAAACATGAGAACTCTTATGTAGCGATAAAATCATATTTTTAAATAAATAATTTATATATATATATATATATATACATATATATATATATATATATATATATATATATATATATACATATATATATATATTTAAAAATTATAACATAAATATGTTATAAAATCACTACAAAATAGCCATTTTGTTTCAACACCTTTAACATATATAATATATATATATATATATATATATATATATATATATATAGTTAAGTAACGAAAATTGGTAATCCGTATGGATAATCCAAAGGAGGATGAAATCCTGAGAGCTCAATGTTAAGTCAGAGCAAATAATATATTTATAAAAGAGGACATCAAAATTCAACACCTAGAGGTCTATTTGATGCTAAACACAATTTTCAGGCCATTTTAAAATAACAGTAATACCTCTTTACATTTAATATAAAATTAATAAATTAATTTTTTTTCATATGTTTTAGGTCTTTCTATTTTAAAATATTTTTTTAAATAAATACCATTAATCCCTGTTTATTATAAATATAAAATAAAATATTTATCCCTGTTTATTTTACATAAAAAAATAAAAATCTCATCTATTTTAAATTCAAAATACATTTTTAAAATAAAATCCTTATAATATGTGGACTGTGGTAGCATTGCGTTAACCATATGTTTTTATTAAAATTTAAATTATATGTTACCAGCTGTACATTTTTGAAAAAATAATATTACCAGCTATACGTTTTTTTGAAAGAATGGTGTTGCTGGCTATACGTTTCTGAAAAAATAATATTACCAGCTATATGCTTTTTTTTTGAAAGAATAGTGTTGCCGGCTATACGTTTTTGGAAAAATAGTATTACCAGTTATAAGTTTTTGAAAGAATAATGTTGCCAGCTATACATTTTTGAAAATATTTTATTACCAGCTATTGGTTTTTGAAAAATTAATATTACCAGCTATACGTTTTTGGAAAAAATAATATTACCAGCTCTACGTTTTTGAAAAAATATTATTACCACCTATACATTTTTGAGGAAAAAATATTAACAGAAATAGATTTTTGACAAAACAAAAATATTACCAGGAAAAAAAAAAGTTGTTGGCATTAAATGACCCATTGAGGTTGATATGCCGTAAAACAAAACAAACCAAACAAACCAAGAGTGACCAGTCAAGTATTTTCCTTATCATACCCCTCTCAACATGTGACCTTTCAATTTGAGGAAGCTGTCATAGAATGTTGGTTTTTACATTCAAAATGAATGAACGTTGAGTAAACATTGTTTTGGAAGGTTTGTTTTCAAAATACAAATTGTATTCTTCTTTTTCATAAATACAAATTGTATCCTTCTTGTACAACAAAGCATGTAGCTTGCAGTACAAGAGTCATTCAAAAAGTTCTAAGTCTCACCCAAAAAGAAGAGTCATAGCTGAACATATCTGTTTATGGAAACACACTACAATGTCTTATAAAACTAGAAAAAGTAATTCATTTTTCTGTGCAGCTGAGGCTCATAAAAAGGTAAGATGTGTGCAACAAATCTAAAAATGGACAAAACAGAGTCCTGAGCAGTCATAAAATATCCCCAGAAGAAAGGTGTAACGATTAAGGAAATTCATGTGGGCATGGTATAGACACTTACTGAGGACTCCCCTTTCTATGCAACTGTGAAAAAGTGGGCTGTGGAAAATTCAAGCAGGTCAGGGACAGCACAGAGTAGAAGTATCCTGAAAATGTCAACCCTTTTCAGCTTCTGCACTGGTGTCAGCATTCTTTGGGCCCATCTTGCAGACAGCTTGCTCATCCCCAAGATCTCAGTCAAAACAATATGGACTGAAGCAGAACTAATGCCAATGAATTTAGCAATCTGCTGGACAGTAAGATGCCATCACAAATCATGCAATGAATGACATCAACTTGTTCATAAGAGGTTGAGGTTTCTGGACAACTTGACCGAGGGTTATCATCAGTGTGTGTCTGCCCCACATGATTTCTGTTGCCTCAAGTCTCTTCTACATTTGTAAGGAGAGTGTTCAGCATTGACTGCTATATAGGTAGGTCAATATTACATAAACATTCTGAAAAAACATAGACATAGACATGAAAGATATCGACATATGTTACATAGGCATATGTTACATAGGCATATGTTACATAAACATATGTTACATAAACATATGTTACATAGGCATAGACATAGTCTGTCAGATATATAGACATAGTCATAGTGTCATAGACAAAGGCATAGATATATGTTACAGAGACATACATAGACATTTCATGAAAGATATAAACATTCTAAAAAAATTACAGAAACCTTCTGTTGATTTTTTTTTTCTGTTACTTCAAGTCTCCTATTCTATCCATGTCTGTGAGGAAATTGTCCAGCATTCACTGCCATATAGGAGGATTGATATTACATAGCAGTTCAGCACTCTTTTCTTTGTTTCTCTTGCTTCAAGTCTCCTCTTCATCATCAGCAGAGGAAATTGTCCAGCATTCACTGCCATATAGGAAATTGATATTACATAGCAGTTCAGCACTCTTTTTCTTTGTTTCTCTTTCATTCAAGTCTCCTCTTCATCTGTGAGGAAATTGTCCAAGCATTCACTGCCATATAGGAGGATTGATATTACATAGCAGTTCAGCACTCTTTTCTTTGTTTCTCTTGCTTCAAGTCTCCTCTTCATCTGTGAGGAAATTGTCCAGCATTCACTGCCATATAGGAGGATTGATATTACATAGCAGTTCAGCACTCTTTTCTTTGTTTCTCTTGCTTCAAATCTCCTCTTCATCTATGAGGAAATTGTCCAGCATTCACTGCCATATAGGATAATTCATATTACATAGCAGTTCAGCACTCTTTTCTTTGTTTCTCTTGATTCAAGTCTCCTCTTCATCTGTGAGGAAATTGTCCAGCATTCACTGCTATATAGGAGGATTGATATTACATAGCAGTTCAGCACTATTTTTCTTTGTTTCTCTTGCTTCAAGTCTCCTCTTCATCTGTGAGGAAATTATCCAGCATTCATTGCCATATAGGAGGATTGATATTACATAGCAGTTCAGCACTTTTTCCTTGTTTCTCTTGCTTCAAGTCTCTTCTTCATCTGTGAGGAAATTGTCCAGCATTCACTGCCATATAGGAGGATTGATATTACATAGCAGTTCAGCACTCTTTTCTTTTGTTTCTCTTGCTTCAAGTCTCCTCTTCATCTGTGAGGAAATTGTCCAGCATTCACTGCCATATAGGAGGATTGATATTACATAGCAGTTCAGCACTCTTTTCTTTGTTTCTCTTGTTTCAAGTCTCTTCTTCATCTGTGAGGAAATTTTCCAGCATTTACTGCCATATAGGAGTATTGATATTATATAGCAGTTCAGCACTCTTTTTCTTTGTTTCTCTTGCTTCAAGTCTCCTCTTCATCTGTGAGGAAATTGTCCAGCATTCACTGCCATATAGGAGGATTAATATTACATAGCAGTTCAGCACTCTTTTTTTTGTTTCTCTTGCTTCAAGAATCTCTTCTTCATCTGTGAGGAAATTGTCCAGCATTCACTGCCATATAGGAGGATTGATATTACATAGCAGTTCAGCACTCTTTTCTTTGTTTCTCTTGCTTCAAGTCTCTTCTTCATCTGTGAGGAAATTGTCCAGCATTCACTGCCATATAGGAGGATTGATATTATATAGCAGTTCAGCACTCTTTTCTTTGTTTCTCTTGCTTCAAGTCTCCTCTTCATCTGTGAGGAAATTGTCCAGCATTCACTGCCATATAGGAGGATTAATATTACATAGCAGTTCAGCACTATTTTCCTTGTTTCTCTTGCTTCAAGTCTCTTCTTCATCTGTGAGGAAATTGTCCAGCATTCACTGCCATATAGGAGGATTGATATTACATAGCAGTTCAGCACTCTTTTCTTTGTTTCTCTTGCTTCAAGTCTTCTCTTCATCTGTGGGGGAAATTGTCCAGCATTCACTGCCATATAGGAGGATTGATATTACATAGCAGTTCAGCAGGTTTTTCCTTGTTTCTCTTGCTTCAAGTCTCTTCTTCATCTGTGAGGAAATTGTCCAGCATTCACTGCCATATAGGAGGATTGATATTATATAGCAGTTCAGCACACTTTTCTTTGTTTCTCTTGCTTCA